TGGCTGGGCGAGCCCTGCCCCTTGCTGTCAGCACACAGCACTGCAGGGACGGGGCGCGTGGATTTGGGGTGCCGCGCAGCGCTCCCCACCTCCAGCGCCTTGACGTGCCGCGAGCGATCGTCCTGGGAGCGCTTCTTGGTCTCCATCTCCTGCTCGAGGTTGTGCAGGCGCTGGAGCAGCACCTCCTTGTCCAGCAGCACGCTCTCCCGCTCCGCCTGGCTCTCCTGCAGCGCCTGCTTCAGCCGGGCGACCTGCGGCACCCGAGGAAAACGCGTCCCCACGTCAGACGTGTCCCCGCACTCCGCAGCGGGAGGGAGAGGACAGCGTGGGGACCCCCAACCCCCCAGCCCTCGCCGCACCTCGTCCTGCAGCCGTCCCACGCTGAACTGCATTTTCTCCACCTCAGCACCCCGGTCCTTGGCTTGTTTCTGGGAGTCCGTGATCTCCTTCCGCGACTTCTCCTTGAACTCCTCCAGCTGCGACTTGGGGGGGTGCAGCCCTGCCAGGGCAGCCCGGAGGACCCCGGACTCCGAGCAGGCACTGGGTGCTTGCAGGAGCTGCCTGGGGCAGGGCAGGGGACAGCACGGCGCTGGGACACCGGGGGATGCCGATCCCTGGGGACAGCCTGGTTTCATGGAGTCTCCCGGGACGCTGCGGAAGGATCGGTCCCAGCTGGCTCCGCAGAGAAACCAGATCCGTGCCCAAAGTCCCAGATCCCTCCCCTAACCCAGCGAGGGCACCTTGGAGATCCCACCCTGTGGCACAGGGACCGGGTGCTGCGGCACACGATGCAGGACGGGGGTCCTGGAGGGGCAAGCAGCCCCGGAGGCACCCGGGCACCCCAACCTCTTTGTTCAGCTTCTCCGTGGTGCGGTCGAGCAGGCGCTTCTGCTCCTCCAGCTCGCTCTTGGCGCGCTTGAGCTGCTCCTTCTGCTGCTGCTCCTCTTGGTGGGACGCGCTCAGCTCCTGGTGCTCCTGCGTCAGCCGGGCCAGGCTCCGCTGCGGCTCCTCCAGCCGGGGCTCCAGCGACCGCTTGGCCCTCCGCAGCTCCCGCC